GGATGTCTTGGCATCATGTGGATGGACTATGATTCCAGTCCATACTTTGGAAATGCAAAGTCCATACTTCGCATTCCTTCTTCAGAACTGTTGGTAGTTAATTTTAAGAGAGCAGAAAAAGCAAAAGGGCAGAGAGTCATCAGTAGTCACTTTCCTCCACGCCTGTGGAGCCTACCATCTCCTTATCTGTTCCTTTATTTCATCTCAGGGCTAATATCCCCAAAGCAGTCTTGGATAACATCATCAGTCAGAGAGGAGTTTCTGCAGCCCAGTTAATCAGCACACACACAGCAAATGATGAGAAGTAGTTACAAAATGCCTCCAGGATTCATTTATTCACTTAACAATAATTTTTATTTTATTTTATTTTATTTTTGAGATAAAGTCTTGCTCTGTCACCCAGGCTGGAGTGCAGTGGCATGATCTAGGCTCACTGCAACCTCTGCCTCCTGGGTTCAAGCGATTCTCCTGCCTCAGCCTCCCGAGTAGCTTGGATTATAGGCACACACCACCATGTCTGGCTAATTTTTATATTTTTAGTAGAGACAGAGTTTCACCATGTTGGCCAGGCTGGTCTTGAACTCCTGTGCTCAGGTGATCTGCCTGCCTTGACCTCCCAAAGTGCTGGGATTACAGGTGTGAGCCACCACACCTGGCCCACAATAATTTTTAAAGCAATTACTCTGTACCCAGAAGTATTCCAGGGGTAGAGCAAATTATTTCACCTCAGTCCAGAATCTAGCCCTCAGCTACTTCGATGCACAAAATCGTATTGTTCATATATTCAGAGATCATCAGATTTTTAATGACAAACTACCTGTAATTAACCGTATAATTAAAATCACCAGAAAATGCTAAGTCATTCATTTCCACAGTGATTTCAAATACCCCTAGCTGGGTTTGCCTCTAACATTTGTGGGGTTGGAGCAAGAGTATAAATGGAGGCCCATGTATCATAGGTCTAAACATTTAAAAGTTTGAAATCTTGCTAACAGACTGTACATATATATGTATATACATCTTCATAACTTGACAAATATATCTTGTTAATGACCTAGGAGGTCAAGTGGCTTGGCGTTCCTTGCAGGAAAGGTGGTGGGGAGCAAATCCCCTTCTCTTCCCCACCACAGGGTGGGCCCAGCCTAGACATCCAGGTTCTGTCCACATCCTCCTGGTATAATCCCTTGCTTGACCATCCGTTGTGCCTAGAGATGTGCAACTCTGCAGTGAGGTTACTCCTGGAAAGGTGGCCCTGAGGAAGAGGCCAAAGAGGCCCTGGAAGCAGGCTCAGGAATTTGGGCAGAGAACTCTAGAGTATTCTAGAAGGAGGATGGGGATCTCCATATGAGTGCCCTGTCTCCTTGACCCATGGACTCCTCAGAGGAGGAGAGACAAAGCAGGACTCTTAAAATGGGGCCCATGGCCATGATTCAGGGCATCCCCTACCTCAAGTGAGGTACTGGAAAGGCAAACAAAATGCTGCTGGGGAATTAGTAGGAACAGAGGATGGTTCACCAGCTCTGGAGCTGAGGCCTAGTTGACCAACCCTCCTGGCACAGAATACCCCCTGGCCAGAGAAGATACTTGTCCCCCAAATTCAGGTGTGTATTTCCTGTGATGGGGCTGACACAGTTTGCTGCCTCAACAACTCCCTTTTCCCTGAGGGTCACGGGCTGCAAAGGCTCCCGGCAGACTGGGAGATTACATAGGGCGCACCACATAGGGGTGCTTCAGGCCAGAGAGAGTACCTTTTTCTTTTCTTTCTTTTTAGACAGATTTTCACTCTATCGCCCAGGCTGGAGTGCAGTGGAAAGATCTCTTCTCACTGCAACCTCCGACTCCCTGGTTCAAGTGATTCTCCTGCCTCAGCCTACCGTGTAACTGGGATTATAGGCACGCGCCACCACAGCCAGCCAATTTTTGTATTTTTAGTAGAGACGGGGTTTCACCACGTTACTCAGTGTGGTCTCAATCTCTTGACCTCGTGATCCGCCCGCTTCGGCCTCCCACAATGCTGAGAACTGCTGCCAACCCATTTCTGACTGTATGGACCTGGGCAATTCTCAGAGCTCTGGAGCACCCCTTGTGGTAGAAGAGAGTAAAATACAGATTTTTTTTTCTTTTTTCCCTTCTAATATTATTTTTGTTTGTAGAAATATATGGGGTACATATGGAATTTTGCCACATGTATATAAGGCATATTGATCAAGTCGGGGTGTTTAGTGTACCCATCACCTGAGTACAATACACTTTTGTTAGCTACAGTCACCCTACTCTGCTATCAAACAGAGTTTATCCTTCAATTTAACTGTATGTTTCTGCCCTTTAACTCACTTCTCTTTATCCTCCGTCTCCCACCACTCACTCTTTCCAGTCTCTGTTATCTGTCTCTCCACTCTCCACCTCTATGTGATGAAACTTTTTAGCTCCCATAGATAGGTGAGAACGTACAACATTTGTCTTTTCTTGCCTGGCTTATTTCACTTAAGATAATAACCTCCACTCTCTCAAAAGTAGAGAAGACCCCAGAAAGCCACCAATAAGTGTTTGGATAACAGACACCTGCATAATCCAAGGGTTAATGGCTTAATTTACTGACCCAACTAGGTCTGTAATGAGAGTAGAGTATGTAGCGATATTGGTGGTTCTGTGCTCATTCTCTTCATTTTACAATCATAATTAATCAAACCTTACCCTCTCACCTTTCTTGTGCTCATGACAAATAATTACCTGCTCTAAGCAGGAATTAACTGAGGAACTAGACTGGCAGTGATTCTTCTTTGGGATGTGAGACAAGAAGCTTGGAAATATAAAATGCACTGTTATTCTAAGAGATGACAGCAAGAAGCAATTTTAAAATATGTCTCTCTTGTAAACCATATGGCCTTAATGACACGAGTGATTTTTCCATTACTGAGAAGTGCAAATAGAGGTGGATGAATTTTCCTGACAGCTGAACCAGGCTTCAGTTAGTTTCAGAGAAACTTTCTATTTGAGTCGACCTGTCTATGCTGCATCAAGTTAGGCCATCATTTCAACAGATCCAGTGAATTACTCCGGAGGAAATAATGTGCCCAGGACTTGGGTATGGTTTTGTTTTGTTGTTGTGTTTTGTTTTGTTTCTGTTTTAGTTCACTACCTGGAACCTACCTCTGCAGTGTGGCTTACCTCTGATGGCCAATGCCAGACTTTTTGGGGGAATCATCTGTGCAGGATAAGAATGAGGATGAGGACAGCTGGGCTCGGTGGCTCACACCTGTAATCTCAGCACTTTGGGAGGCCGATGCAGGTGGATCACCTGAGGTCAGGAGTTTGAGACAAGCCTGGCCAACATGGTGAAACCCTGTCTGTACTAAAAATACAAAAATTAGCTGGGTGTGGTGGCTGGTGCCTGTAGTCCCAGCTACTCGGGAGGCTAAGGCAGGAGAATTGCTTGAACTTGGGAGGTAGAGGTTGCAGTGAGCCGAGATCACAATACTGCACTCTAGCCTGGGTGACAGAGTAAAACTCCACCTCCAAACAAACAAACAAACAGAATGACAATGAGGGGAAGCCACGAGAGGGAAGAAGAAGGAAGAGCTAACCGTTTGGATCTGAAGAGAGGCTTTGCAGGGTGACGGCTATCAGCAACTGTAGGGAGCGATCCAATATAAATATAACATCTGTTTCCTTGGGCTCCTCAGATACTTTCCGACTCAAATTCCATGGGGTTTTCTCCCTATGGCCCTCTAACCTCTCTCCTTGCTGAGGACGCTCTGCTAACAGTCCGTGTATTGTTTGGAAAAAATAAGTGTTGTTAGTCCGAGTTCAGTCAGGGAAGCAGAACTGTGATGAGCTGTAGAGGAAGCAATTTATCATAGGAATTAGTCCTGACCCCACTGGAGGTCCAGGCAGGAACTGGAAGGTGGGAGTAGCCACCCGCCAACAAGGCTGAGAAGCCCAGCACATCCAGCTGCACAACTGGAAGGGGAAGCTGGTTGGGGAAGCCTCTGGGAAGCTGTTCCTACCTATATGGGCCTGCAGCCAAGTGTCTGGTGGTGGCCCTGGGGCTCCTGTTGATCAACAGCATCAGCAGTCAGAAAGAAGATCTGGACACAGATTGAGGGAGAGTGAGGACAAGTGGGATCCACTGTCACCTCTACCTCTGTTTGTCACCATATCTAACCACAACAACCTTTGGAAAGTAACCGCTCCTTCTTCATTCCTACCTCGCATATCTTGTGCAAATTCTTTCTTTGGCCAACTCTAACCCAAAACCTTCAGGAAAGGGGATCCTGGGAAATGTGATTCCAGCTTAGCAAGTTAGCACACAACGCACTACCATGCTAGGAAACTCACAGCATGGCCACCGGCAGAGCTCCCCCAGCAATTGGCAGGATACCCAGATGGAGAAGGTATAGGATGAATGAATAGGGGTGGGAGTCGGGGGGAAGTCTGAAAAGCATCCTCAACCAATCAGAGCACGTTTCACTGTCCTGGAGCTTGAAATAGAGGAGAAAGTTACTAAGAGTTTTCCTGCTAGGATGGGACAAAGGATATCTTTACTGGGCAAGGAAGAGTTTAGGTGGACCAGCTGCCTTCCTTCTAAACTGAGGTCACAGTCTGCAGCCAAAGTTCCCATAGCCCTTTGGTGCAGCCAGATTTAAAAAGAATCTTGTTCTCAGAAAGGCCAGAGCACATGCGTATTTAAAGAGTTCTTTTAACACCGAGTTATCTGAGAGAGAATTACCTTAACCCAAATTCTGAAGACTCCACATAGTTAAGATGCACAAATTCACTATCAATGGTGCTGAGAATAGTTCCTTGGAAGGCATAAAATGTTTATTAGGATCAATTAAAGTATGTTTGAGAGATTTATTTTCTCCATCTTTATTCTACTATTTAAGGAAAGTGCTGAGTTGTATATTAACACTTCAAGGTCTCAGTCACTGTTTGTCTTGAAAAAAGAGAGAGAAAATGTTTGTCATTCCAGGAGCATAATCAGTTGAGCCAGCGCACAATGACATAGTTAATTCACCAACGGAATTTGTTGCCATAGCTCCAGCGAGGGAAGGGGTAGATTAAACAATAGCCTTTTTCACGGCTGCAGCTTTCGCCACAACCTGCCTGTTGCCGCAAAACAGGCCATCATAGCGCTAGTTCAGAGCACAGCAATTGTCAATGAACCACAGCCCAGAGGGGACAAGAGGAGGCTTGTGGTAAATAAAGCAAGCGTGCCCAGCAACTCAGATCTCTCCTTATTCAATAACTGGGACATTCCGAGCTCCTCTGAGCTTATCTTTAAGTGCTGGGCACAGAGAGCCTGCTTGACCTTTTTGGTCAAGTGAGGAACAAAAATTTCATCCTGTGACTCAAAAGAACTCAAAAGGGAGGAGGCCTCTGGAGAAAAGATCAGGAGCAGGCATGGTAGGCCATCAGGAGTGCACCATGGAAGAAGACTCCAGGGACAATCGCGCTCTGCAACTGTGGCGCAAGGTAATGTGGATGCTTTCTTATTGATTTTTGCCTTATCGAATATCAAATTCAGTTCAAAAAGTAAAGCCCTATGTATCTGCGAGTATAATGAATCTGTGCTAGTTAGTAATCACACTAAAAATGAAAATATTATCTTCTACATCTTAAGGTGATTTAAAAAAAAACCAAATTGTGAGTAACATTTCTTTATCCCCTTGCAGAGTATGTCAGCTCCCTGGATAAACTTAGAAGACAAGAACAAATTTGCTTACTAAAAAAAAAGGTCAGATTAATATGCTGGGGGAGCCTGAGGGTATTGCAGAAACGTTTTTGCAAAATGTTCATTATCCTATGAAAAGAGAAATTCTCCTAGTAGTAACGTCATAAAATCCTGATTAGAACAGCCATTCCTTTTCTTTTTCTTTTTTTGAGACAGAGTCTCACTGTTGCCCAGGCTAGAGTGCAGTGGCGTGATCGCAGCTCACTGCAACCTCTGCCTCCCGGGCTCAAGTAATTCTCCTGCCTCAGCCTCCCAAGTAGCTGGGGCTACAGGTGTGCACCACCACACCCAGCAAATTTTTGGATTTTTAGTAGAGTAGGGGATTCACCATGTTGGCAGGCTGGTCTCGAACTCCTGACCTCAAGTGAATATCTACTTCTGAGTTCAACGTTATGCAATGGTCACACAAATGAGACCACTTTATATGGTCTTCTCTCTTGGGGAGGGGGTGCTCAGGGAACATGTTTCAAGGGGAGCCTTGTTAAACCGAATGAGTTCTAGATGGAGAAGCTTTAGGCAGGGGGACAAAGTGCTAAAAAGGACCTCAGATGATGTGAAGAAGAGATTGAGGGCCAGAGGCAGCTTCCCAAGAACGAGGCAGAGGGAATTTCTCTGCTTAATGATGAAGCTGGTTTCACTGCATTACCCTGAGAATGGACACTGGCCCTGCTTGCTCCTGTCCCAGCATCCCTTCAAAACCTTCCCATGCCCCTTGGAATGGATATGGGTAGCTGGTTTAATTGCCATATGCCTCAGAAAGTAGTCTAGATTCATATCCAGCAGACACTTGAGCTACATGACTGATCGATCATTTCGCCCAGTTGGTCCCTTCCCCAGTCACCTCTACGTTATCTTAAATTTGGAGAAATTTGTGCTGTATATTGAAGACTCATGAGTTTTACCAGTTCATTGTATTGAGTTAATTGGGGAATCGGGAGGCATTCATACGTTCATTCATTCATGCCTCATTTCAAAATTAGATCTGAAGTGGCACCGAAACAACTAGATTTGGGCTGGGCGCAGTGGCTCATGCCTGTAATCTCAGCACTTTGAGAGGCTGAGGTGGGCGGATCACTCGAGGTTGGGGTTCAAAACCAGCTTGGCCAACATGGTGAAACCCCCTCTCTACTAAAAATACAAAAAAAAAAGTTAGCCAGGCATGGTGGTGGGCGCCTGTAATCCTAGCTATTTGGAAGGCTGAGGAAAGAGAATTGCTTGAACCCAGGAGGCAGAGGTTGCAGTGAGCCCAGATTGCACCACTGCACTCCAGCCTGGGTGACAGAGTGAGACTCTGTCTCAAACAAACAAACAAACAAACAAATAAAAAAACAAAAAACCCAAGTAGATTCAGTTCTGGACTGGTAAATATAGAAAGTTGGCCGGGAGTGGTGGCTCACACCTGTAATCCCAGCACTTTGGGAGGCTGAGGCGGCTGGATCACAAGGTCAAGAGATCCAGACCATACTGGTCAACATGGTGAAACCCCGTCTCGACTAAAAATACAAAAAATTAGCTGGGCATGGTGGTGCGCGCCTGTAATCCCAGCTACTCAGGAGGCTGAGGCAGGAGAATTGCCTGAACCCAGGAGGCGGAGGTTGCGGTGAGCCAAGATCGCGCCATTGCACTCCAGCCTGGGTAAACAAGAGGGAAACTTCGTATCAAAAAAAAAAAAAAGAAAGTTGAGATGATTCTTCTAGGTTCCAGTCATGTAGAATTAAATCTGTGCAAATATCACTGTATTCCGACACCTTTTGCAAATCGAAAATAAGTAAAGGCCTCTAATTTCATGCTCTCCCAAATGTATCACTTATCAACATTATAATAGTTGACATTTTAGGGTGACATGCCCTAAGCTAAGTATTTTCCATGCCTTATTTTATGTAATTACATTCAACAAAAGGACTCAAGCTCCTGACCACTTGCCTATCCTGCTAATTTGTGCCTTGATTTCTCTATTATATTGAATAGGCTTATTTAACCTCCTCGGGCAATTAAAATGGATTACATTATTAATTAAAATGGATTACATTAACATTTTTCTCACGCTTTTCAGTTCTCAGTGTACTTTTCTCACATAGGCAGGCTCCACTTCTGTAAATTAAACCTTCTGACCACCAGCCCTTTGTGTACCATACATTGGGACCCCCAGGCTGACACACGACCATTTCTGGTTACTGCTGATGGTGCTACTTAACAGCCAATAGTTACAAGCATTGCAGCTATATATTGAATCTGAAAGGTTAACATAATCATGAACTGAATAATCTTTTATAGCTCTCTGGGAATGGAAACTACCTTTAATTAATTAATTACTTAATTAATTTTGAGACAAAGTTTCACTGTTGTTACCCAGGCTGAAGTGCAATGGCATAATCTCGGCTCACGGCAACCTCCACCTCCCGGGTTCAAGCGATTCGCATGCCTCAGCCTTCTGAGTAGCTGGGATTACAGGTGCCCGCCACAATGCCTGGCCAATTTTTTGTATTTTTAATAGAGATGGCGTTGCAACATGTTGGCCAGGCTGGCCTCGAACTCCTGACCTCAGGTGATCCATCCACCTTGACCTCCAAAAGTACTGAGATTGCAGGCAGGAGCCACCACGCCCGGTCAGAAACTACCTTTAAATAAGAGAGTTGTGTATTTATTTTCCACATATTTAATTTTGGTACTTGGTTGGTACTTATTTGGAAATAAGAGAATGCCCAAACATTACCTCAATTCTTTTTACCGCCAATACTGTGATGTAGATATTATTTAAATTCCCATTTTCTCCTTCTCCTTCTTCTCCTCCTCCTCTTCTTCTTCCTCCTCCTCCTTCTTCTTTTTTTAAAGAGACAAGGTCTTACTCTGTTGCCCAGGCTGGAGTGCAGTGGTACAATCATAGGTCACTGTAACCTCAAACTCCTGGGCTCAAGTGATCCTCCTGCCTCAGCCTCCCAAGGAGCTAGGACTGCACCATGCCTGGCTAATTTTTAACTATTTTGTAGTGTGTTTCTCAGGCTGGTCTTGAACTCCTGGCCCCAAATGATCCTTCCACCTAAACCCCACAGTGCACGAGATTACAGGTGTGCGGCACTGAGCCCTAGCCTATAGTCCCATTTTCAAGTGAGAAAATTGAAGTTCACAGAGGTTAATTGTCCAAGGTAGCAAGCATGCAGTTGGAATTTGGGTTCCCAGCATCCAATTTTACTTTTTCTTTAAACTAACACGTTGAATAAGGTAGCCACTAACCACATACAGCTGTTTAAATTTGAATTTTAATTACTTTAAAATTAATTAATTAAAATTTAAAACTCAGGTCTCAGTCACACTAGCCACATTTTTTTTTTTTTTTTTGAGAGAGTCTCGCTCTGTAACCTGCTGGAGAGCAATGGCATAGTCTTGACTCCTGGGTTCAAGCAATTCTCTTGCTTCAGTCTCCCAAGAAGCTGGGATTGCAGGCGCCCACCACTACACGCAGCTAATTTTTGTATTTTTAGTAGAGATTGGGTTTCACCATGTTGGCCAGGTTGGTCTTGAACTTCCTGACCTCACATGATCCGCCTGCCTTGGCCTCCCAAAGTGCTGGGATTATAGGCATGAGCCAAGCCACATTTTAACTGCTCAGTAGTTACATGTGGCTCGTGGCTATTCTATCTGGACAACACAGATATAAAATAGTCCATCATTGCAGAAAATTATATTGAATAACCCTGCTTTAAACCATAATGTCTCTTTTAGATATGTTCAGACAAGTACTCAGAATATATTGCAGTTCTGTTACAAGTAATATGGATTTTAAATTTTACAGTAAAATCTCATTCATTTGAAGTCCCCTCATTTGCATAGCACCAAGTTAACTTTGATCTGCAAATTAATAATATAGATAAGAGTTAAGAAGATGGTTAAATGCACTTCAGAGACCAAAGATTTTTAAGCACCATCAAATAACTCCAGAAGCACTCACTTAGATGCAAGCAATTGATATGATAATTACACATCATTTTTATTTATTCATTAAAACAGGGATCCCCTAAGGTGCCCTTGTAGGAAATAATATGGCTAGCCTAGTTATTTCAAGCAACCCTTCTGCTATTTCAAAATTCTATGCAAAATTATTTTATACTACTGGTTTACCTTCCTCCCTGCCTTTGGATCACAACATAAAATGGTAGCATAAAATACTTTCACCTGAAACTTTGACTGTTTGAAGATCTAATTCCAAAGCCCTCACTTCTTCCACTATATTGTGTGATTCCCTGGAAGAGGTACTCCTGTGGGCCCTGGATAGGGCCTGGTATACAGTAAGGGTTCAATAAATATCTGTTGCTTGACTGACAGGGACAGTTTTTCAAGATACCATTCATTGAGGTGGACTCCGATTTTCTACAGGGAACACATGTATCAAATGGAAAACTGACTTCCAGTTTTTTTTTTCTCTTTACCAGTCTTTGCTGCCAAGTCTTCATGGTGAGATAAGGGCTTCCTGTTTGTGAGAAAGAGATGATTCCCAGGCATTCAGATGGGGGGAGGGGGAGTGTGAGCTCGCTGGAGGCTTTGGAAACTAAATCTTCCAGCTCCTTCAGAAGTGAGAGCAGAGTAGCAAACATGCTGCCTTCCCGGGCACCAGTCATCAGTTAGCTCTATCAGTCCTCAGATATGTGGCACACATGTTCCAGGTCCCGCGCTGGTTCTAGGTAATAAATAGGATAGAAGAAGGAATGTTGAGTTGTTAGGGAAGAATGGTACTCGCGCTTCTGTA